TCATCAGTGACATCAGTATCATCAGTAACATCAGTATCATCAGTAACATCAGTAACATCACTATCATCAGTGACATCAGTATCATCAGTAACATTAGTATCATCAGTAACATCAGTATCATCAGTAACATCAGTAACATCAGTATCATCAGTATCATCAGTAACATCAGTATCATCAGTATCATCAGTAACATCAATATCATCAGTAACATCAGTATCATCAGTAACATCAGTAACATCAGTATCATCAGTAACATCAGTATCATCAGTAACATCAGTAACATCACTATCATCAGTATCATCAGTAACATCACTATCATCAGTGACATCAGTATCATCAGTATCATCAGTAACATCAGTACCATCAGTATCATCAGTATCATCAGTAACATCAGTGTCATCAGTATCATCAGTAACATCAGTATCATCAGTAACATGGGTATCATCATTGTCATCAGTATCATCAGTTTCATCAGTATCATCATTGTCATCAGTAACATCAGTATAACATCAGTATCATCAGTATCATCAGTAACATCAGTATCATCAGTAACATCGGTAACATCAGTATCATCAGTAACATCAGTATCATCAGTATCATCAGTAACATCAGTATCATCGGTATCATCAGTATCATCAGTAACATCAGTATCATCAGTATCATCAGTATCATCAGTAACATCAGTAACATCAGTGTCATCAGTATCATCAGTAACATCACTGTCATCAGTAACATCAGTATCATCAGTATCATCAGTAACATCAGTAACATCAGTATCATCAGTAACATCAGTATCATCAGTAACATCAGTAACATCAGTATCATCAGTAACATCAGTAACATCAGTGTCATCAGTGTCATCAGTAACATCACTATCATCAGTAACATCAGTGACATCAGTATCATCAGTAACATCAGTATCATCAGTATCATCAGTATCATCAGTAACATCAGTATCATCAGTGTCATCGTTATCATCAGTAACATTACTATCATCAGTATCATCAGTAACATCACTGTCATCAGTGACATCAGTATCATCAGTAACATCAGTATCATCACTATCATCAGTGACATCAGTATCATCAGTAACATCAGTATCATCAGTAACATCAGTAACATCACTATCATCAGTGACATCAGTATCATCAGTAACATTAGTATCATCAGTAACATCAGTATCATCAGTAACATCAGTAACATCAGTATCATCAGTATCATCAGTAACATCAGTATCATCAGTATCATCAGTAACATCAATATCATCAGTAACATCAGTATCATCAGTAACATCAGTAACATCAGTATCATCAGTAACATCAGTATCATCAGTAACATCAGTAACATCACTATCATCAGTATCATCAGTAACATCACTATCATCAGTGACATCAGTATCATCAGTATCATCAGTAACATCAGTACCATCAGTATCATCAGTATCATCAGTAACATCAGTGTCATCAGTATCATCAGTAACATCAGTATCATCAGTAACATCAGTATCATCATTGTCATCAGTATCATCAGTTTCATCAGTATCATCAGTATCATCATTGTCATCAGTAACATCAGTATAACATCAGTATCATCAGTATCATCAGTAACATCAGTATCATCAGTAACATCGGTATAATCAGTATCATCAGTAACATCAGTATCATCAGTATCATCAGTAACATCAGTATCATCGGTATCATCAGTATCATCAGTAACATCAGTATCATCAGTATCATCAGTATCATCAGTAACATCAGTAACATCAGTGTCATCAGTATCATCAGTATCATCAGTAACATCACTGTCATCAGTAACATCAGTATCATCAGTATCATCAGTAACATCAGTAACATCAGTATCATCAGTATCATCAGTAACATCAGTATCATCGGTATCATCAGTATCATCAGTAACATCAGTAACATCAGTATCATCAGTAACATCAGTAACATCAGTGTCATCAGTGTCATCAGTATCATCAGTAACATCAGTATCATCAGTAACATCAGTATCATCACTATCATCAGTAACATCACTATCATCAGTGACATCAGTATCATCAGTAACATCAGTATCATCAGTATAATCAGTAACATCAGTATCATCAGTAACATCAGTAACATCAGTATCATCAGTAACATCAGTATAATCAGTATCATCAGTAACATCAGTAACATCAGTATCATCAGTATAATCAGTAACATCAGTATCATCAGTATCATCAGTAACATCAGTGTCATCAGTATCATCAGTAACATCAGTATCATCAGTAACATCAGTATCATCATTGTCATCAGTATCATCAGTTTCATCAGTATCATCAGTATCATCATTGTCATCAGTAACATCAGTATAACATCAGTATCATCAGTATCATCAGTAACATCAGTATCATCAGTAACATCAGTATAATCAGTATCATCAGTAACATCAGTAACATCAGTATAATCAGTAACATCAGTATCATCAGTATCATCAGTAACATCAGTGTCATCAGTATCATCAGTAACATCAGTATCATCAGTATCATCAGTATCATCATTGTCATCAGTAACATCAGTATAACATCAGTATCATCAGTATCATCAGTAACATCAGTATCATCAGTAACATCAGTATAATCAGTATCATCAGTAACATCAGTAACATCAGTATCATCAGTATCATCAGTATCATCAGTAACATCAGTATCATCAGTAACATCAGTACCATCAGTAACATCAGTAACATCAGTACCATCAGTAACATAAGTATCATCAGTAACATCAGTAACATCAGTATCATCAGTAACATCAGTACCATCAGTAACATCAGTATCATCAGTAACATCAGTATCATCAGTAACATCAGTACCATCAGTATCAGCAGTATCATCAGTATCATCAGTAACATCAGTATCATCAGTATCATCAGTAACATCAGTAACATCAGTAACATCAGTATCATCAGTATCATCAGTAACATCAGTAACATCAGTATCATCAGTATCATCAGTAACATCAGTATCATCAGTATCATCAGTAACATCAGTACCATCAGTAACATCAGTATCATCAGTAACATCAGTATCATCAGTAACATCAGTACCATCAGTATCAGCAGTATCATCAGTATCATCAGTACCATCAGTATCATCAGTATAACATCAGTATCATCAGTATAGTCAGTAACATCAGTGTCATCAGTAAAATCAGTAACATCATTATCATCAGTAACATCACTGTCATCAGTAACATCAGTAACATCAGTATCATCAGTAACATCAGTATCATCAGTAACATCAGTAACATCAGTATCATCAGTAACATCAGTACCATCAGTATCATCAGTAACATCAGTATCATCAGTAAAATCAGTAACATCAGTATCATCAGTAACATCAGTACCATCAGTATCATCAGTAACATCAGTATCATCAGTAACATCAGTATCATCAGTAAAATCAGTAACATCAGTATCATCAGTAACATCAGTACCATCAGTATCATCGGTATCATCAGTAACATCAGTACCATGAGTATTATCAGTAACATCAGTGTCATCAGTATCATCAGTATCATCAGTAACATCAGTGTCATCAGTAACATCAGTAACATCAGTATCATCAGTAAAATCAGTAACATCAGTATCATCAGTAACATCAGTACCATCAGTATTATCAGTAACATCAGTGTCATCAGTGTCATCAGTAACATCAGTAACATCAGTATCATCAGTATCATCAGTGACATCAGTAACATCAGTATCATCAGTGACATCAGTAACATCAGTATCATCAGTATAATCAGTAACATCAGTATCATCAGTATCATCAGTAACATCAGTATCATCAGTGTCATCAGTAACATCACTATCATCAGTAACATCAGTGACATCAGTATCATCAGTAACATCAGTATCATCAGTATCATCAGTAACATCAGTATCATCAGTGTCATCGTTATCATCAGTAACATTACTATCATCAGTATCATCAGTAACATCACTGTCATCAGTATCATCAGTATCATCAGTAACATCAGTATCATCACTATCATCAGTGACATCAGTATCATCAGTAACATCAGTATCATCAGTAACATCAGTAACATCACTATCATCAGTGACATCAGTATCATCAGTAACATTAGTATCATCAGTAACATCAGTATCATCAGTATCATCAGTAACATCAGTAACATCAGTATCATCAGTATCATCAGTAACATCAGTATCATCAGTATCATCAGTAACATCAATATCATCAGTAACATCAGTATCATCAGTAACATCAGTAACATCACTATCATCAGTATCATCAGTAACATCACTGTCATCAGTGTCATCAGTATCATCAGTAACATCAGTATCATCAGTATCATCGTTATCATCAGTAACATTACTATCATCAGTATCATCAGTAACATCACTATCATCAGTGACATCAGTATCATCAGTAACATTAGTATCATCAGTAACATCAGTATCATCAGTATCATCAGTAACATCAGTAACATCAGTATCATCAGTATCATCAGTAACATCAGTATCATCAGTATCATCAGTAACATCAATAACATCACTATCATCAGTGACATCGTTATCATCAGTAACATTACTATCATCAGTATCATCAGTAACATCACTGTCATCAGTGTCATCAGTATCATCAGTAACATCAGTATCATCAGTATCATCGTTATCATCAGTAACATTACTATCATCAGTATCATCAGTAACATCACTGTCATCAGTGACATCAGTATCATCAGTATAATCAGTAACATCAGTATCATCAGTAACATCAGTAACATCAGTATCATCAGTAATATCAGTATAATCAGTATCATCAGTAACATCAGTAACATCAGTATCATCAGTAACATCAGTATCATCAGTAACATCAGTAACATCAGTAACATCAGTATCATCAGTATCATCAGTATCATCAGTATCATCAGTGACATCAGTATCATCAGTATCATCAGTATCATCAGTATCATCAGTATCTCCTGCTGCAGGACGTGGATCGCTGGAGCTTTGATGTCTTCTCTCTGAACGTGGCGAGCGCTGACCATGCCCTCAGGAGCCTCTTCTGTGAACTCATCGCCAGATACGACCTCAACAACAGATTTAAGGTTCAACACTTTAATAATACTTTAATAATACTTAATAATACTTTATTAATACTTTAAATATACTTTAATAATACTTTACTAGTACTGTTACTTACACTCTTACTAATACTTGACTAATACTTTACTTATACTCTTACTTATTCTTTCACTTATACTTTACTAATACTCTTACTTCTACTCTTACTAATACTTGACAAATATTTTACTAATTCTTTACTTATACTTTAATAATACTTTACTAATACTTTAATAATAATCTTACTTATACGCTTACTTTTACTTTACTAAAACTTTAATAATAATGTATTAAGACTTTGCAAAGACTTTACTAATACTTTAATAATACATTACTTATACTTTACTTATACTCTTACTTTTACTTTACTAATACTTTACTAATACTCCTAGTAAAACTCATACTCACAGGTCACTGTAGTATTCCTACTGTTTTATCCCAGTACTATTTATTTTTTCTGATTTCTTATTTTTCATTTGTTTTTCTGCAGTTTGCTCTTTACTGTTGAACATGATCTTGGCCAAAAAATATATACGTCTCTGAGAAAACGTCTGTGATTTAGGATGATACAAATATTTCCTACCTTCCTTGTTGACCTCTGACCCCTGCAGACCCCCCCTCTCTCTGACCTCTAACCTCTAACCCCTGCAGACCCCCCCCCCCCTGACCTCTGACCCTGTAGATCCCTCTCTCTCCCTCTCAGACCTCTGACCCCTGCACACCCCCCTCTCCTCTCTCTCTGCCCTCTGACCCCTGTAGATACCCCTCTCCTCTCCTCTCTGCCCTCTCCTCTCTGACCTCTGCCCTCTGACCTCTGACCTCTACCCTTTGACCCTGCAGATCCCCCTCTCCTCTCCTCTCTGCCTTCTGACCTCTGCCCTCTGACCCTGTAGATCCCCTGCTCCTCTCCTCTCTGCCCTCTGACCTCTGCCCTCTGATCCTGCAGATCCCCCTCTCCTGCCTGACAGAGTTGCTGGGTGCTGTGGAGAGAGGATACAGTAAACACAGAAACCCGTATCACAACCAGCTGCACGCGGCCGACGTCACCCAGACCCTGCACTGTCTGCTGCTGCGCTCCGGCCTCGTGGTACTGCCTCAGCCTCAGACTCCCTCAGACTGCCTCAGACTGCCTCAACCTCAGACTCAGACTCCCTCAGACTCCCTCAGACTACCACAGACTGCCTCAGACTGCCTCAACCTCAGACTCAGACTCCCTCAGACTACCACAGACTGCCTCAGACTGCCTCAACCTCAGACTCCCTCAGACTGCCTCAACCTCAGACTCAGACTCCCTCAGACTGCCTCAGACTCCCTCAGACTCCCTCAGACTGCCTCAGACTCCCTCAGACTCAGACTGCCTTCGACTCCCTTAGACTGCCTCAGACTTCCTCAGACTTCCTCAGACTGCCTCAGACTCCCTCAGACTGCCTCAGACTTTCTCAGACTCCCTCAGACTCCCTCAGACTGCCTCAGACTTCCTCAGACTCCCTCAGACTCCCTCAGACTCAGATTCAGATTCAGTTTATTTGCCATTTGCAGTAAAACCACAGTGGAATACATTAGCAAAAGTCTCCAGTGTGCACAGACAAATACAGACATAAAACAACATTAAAAGACAGAAATAAAACATATAAAACAGTAAAGAAATCCATCCATCCATCCATTTTCTTCCGCTTTATCCGTTGCCGGGTCGCGGGGGCAGCAGTCTAAGCAGAGACGCCCAGACTTCCCTATCCACACACACCTCCTCAAGCTCGTCCGGGGGGACCCCTAGGCGTTCCCAGGCCAGCTGAGAGACATAGTCTCTCCAGCGTGTCCTGGGTCTTCCCCGGGGCCTCCTCCCGGTGGGACGTGCCCGGAACACCTCCCCAGGAAGGCGTCCAGGAGGCATCCTGAACAGATGCCCGAGCCACCTCAACTGGTTCCTCTCGACGTGGAGAAGCAGCGGCTCTACTCCGAGCTCCTCCCGTGTGACCGAGCTCCTCACCCTATCTCTAAGGGAGCGCCCAGCCACTCTGCGGAGGAAGCTCATTTCGACCGCTTGTATCCGCGATCTCGTTCTTTCGGTCATTACCCACAGCTCATGACCATAGGTGAGGGAGGGAACGAAGATTGACCGGTAAATTGAGAGCTTTGCCTTTCGGCTCAGCTCCCTCTTTACCACAACGGTCCGATACAGAGACCGCATCACTGCGCACGCTGCACCAATCCGCCTGTCAATCTCACGCTCCATCCTCCCCTCACTCGTGAACAAGACCCCGAGATACTTGAACTCCTCCACTTGAGGAAGGACCTCTCCACCCACCTGGAGAGGGCAAGGCACCTTTTTCCGGTCAAGCACCATGGCCTCGGATTTGGAGGTGCTGATTCTCATCCCAGCCGCTTCACACTCGGCTGCAAACCGTCCCAGTGCATGTTGCAGGTCCTGGTTCGTTGGAGCCAGCAGGACGACATCATCCGCAAAAAGTAGAGATGAAATCCTGTGGTTCCCGAACCGGACCCCCTCCGGCCCCTGGCTGCGCCTAGAGATTCTGTCCATAAATACAGTGAAACAGAACCGGTGACAAAGGGCAGCCTTGGCGGAGGCCAACATGCACCGGGAACAGGTCTGACTTACTGCCAGCAATGCGAACACAGCTCTGGCTCCGGTCATACAGGGACCGAACAGCCCTCAGCAGAGGACCCCGGACCCCGTACTCCCGGAGGACCCCCCAAAGGACACCCCGGGGAACGCGGTCGAACGCCTTCTCCAAATCCACAAAGCACATGTGGACAGGTTGGGCGAACTCCCATGAACCCTCGAGTATCCGATGGAGAGTATAGAGCTGGTCCAGTGTTCCGCGACCGGGACGAAAACCACACTGCTCCTCCTGAATCCGAGATTCGACCATCGGACGAAGCCTCCTCTCCAGTACCTTGGAGTAGACCTTACCGGGGAGGCTGAGGAGTGTGATCCCACGATAATTGGAACACACCCTCCGGTCCCCCTTCTTGTAGAGAGGGACCACCACCCCGGTCTGCCACTCCATTGGCACCGCCCCCGATCGCCACGCGATGTTGCAGAGACGTGTCAGCCAAGACAGTCCTACAACATCCAGAGACTTTAGATAGTCAGGACGGATCTCATCCACTCCCGGCGCCTTGCCACCATGGAGGCTGCCAACCACCTTGGTGACCTCGGCCAGGGAGGCCGAGGTCACTTCAGTAAAGAAATGTCACTGTGAAATCGATCGACTAAAACAGTTTCAGTACAAGAGCAAATCATTAAAGTGCTCTGTTCAAACAGCTTGTGGGAAGAAGCTGTTATCATAACGAGATGTCCTGCATCTCAGAGAACAATATCTTCTGCCAGAGGGAAGAAGCTGGAACATGGCTTTCCCAGGGTGGCCAGAAGAGTCATTGACAATCCTAAGAGCTTTGTTTAAAAGTGTGGATTTATAAAGAACCTCCAGAACAGGAAGCTCACAGCCCACGGTCCTCTTTGCAGAGCGGAGCACCTTGTTTAAAGCTCTCTTTTCTTTATCTGTGATGTTTCCAAACCACACAGACACAGAACCAACAAGTAAACTCTCAATGGTGCAGCCATAAAAGTTAAGCACAATCTTAGAGTTAGTGGTAAATTCTCTAAGTTTCCGCAGAAAGTAGAGACGCTGACGAGCTTTCTTAACGACTCGGTCAGTGTTTTTAACCCATTTCAGGTTAGACAGAGTTAAACCCAGAAACTTACACTCCTCTACGATCTGCACCTGGGAGTTGTCGATTACGACAGGCAAATGAGAACTATTGCGACTGAAGTCGTGACCAGTTCACATGTTTTGGATGCGTTCAACTGGAGGTTGTTAGTTTGACTCCACTGAACCACATTTTGTATCTCTGCTCTATAAGAGGATTCATCAGTGTCACTGATGAGACCGATGATGGTGGTGTCATCAGCATATTTGATGATCAAGTTTGAGTCAGAGGAGGACACACAATCGTGAGTGTACAAAGTAAAAAGCAAAGGACTCAAAATACATCGCTGAGGAGAACCAGTGCTCACAGAAGACTTCCTCAGACTCAGACTCTCTCAGACTCAGACTCCCTCAGACTCCCTCAGACTCCCTCAGACTGCCTCAGACTCAGACTCCCTCAGACTGCCTCAGACTCAGACTCCCTCAGACTGCCTCAGACTACCTCAGACTCCCTCAGACTCAGACTCCATCAGACTGCCTCAGACTCCCTCAGACTCCCTCAGACTGCCTCAGACTCCATCAGACTGCCTCAGACTCCCTCAGACTGCCTCAGACTCCCTCAGACTCCCTCAGACTCAGACTCCATCAGACTGCCTCAGACTCCCTCAGACTCCCTCAGACTCAGACTCCATCAGACTGCCTCAGACTCCCTCAGACTGCCTCAGACTCCCTCAGACTGCCTCAGACTCCCTCAGACTGCCTCAGACTCCCTCAGACTACCTCAGACTCCCTCAGACTCAGACTGCCTCAGACTGCCTCAGACTCCCTCAGACTGCCTCAGACTGCCTCAACCTCAGACTCCCTCAGACTCAGACTCCCCCTCAGACTCAGACTCCCTCAGACTGCCTCAACCTCAGACTCAGACTCCCTCAGACTCAGACTCCCTCAGACTCCCTCAGACTCAGACTCCCTCAGACTCCCTCAGACTCCCTCAGACTCAGACTCCCCCTCAGACTCAGACTCCCTCAGACTGCCTCAGTGTGTGTCTATGTGTGTGCCTGTGTGTGTTTCTGTGTGTGTTTCTGTGTGTGTGTGTGTGTGTGTGTTGCAGCACTGGTTGTCGGAGCTGGAGGTCATGTCCTGTTTATTCGCTGCAGCAATTCATGACTTTGAACACACAGGAACCACCAACAACTTTCACATCCACACTCAGTGAGTACTACTCTACTGCCCTGCCCTGCCCTGCCCTGCCCTCTGCTCTGCTCTGCTCTGCCCTACCCTACTCTACAGTACAGAGCAAAAGTTTGGACACACCTTCTCATTCAAAGAGTTTTTTGTTTTCATGATTATGGACTGCCACCTTAACGTGGTGGGGGAGTTTGAGTACTCAGATGATCCTGGGAGCTATGTTGTCTGGTGCTTCATGCCCCTGGTAGGGTCTCCCAAGGTACACAGGTCTCAGGTGACGAGTCAGACGAAGAGTAGTCTGAAGCCAACATGGACAGCACTTTAACAAGATCAGTGACGTCGCCCGGCATGGCGCAGCTGGGTCCCCACCCTGGAGCCAGGCCTAGGGTCGGAGAGCGAGTGAGCGCCTGGTGGCCGGGCCTTAGCCCATGGGGCCCTGCCGGGTTCAGCCCGAAAGGTCGAGCTGTGGACCCACCACCTGCAGAGGGGTCCGTGGTGGTGCGGTGCAGAGAGGACTGGGCAGCAGTCGAAGGCGGAGATCTCGGCGACCCAGTCCGCACACACAACATTTGGCTCTTGGGACGTGAACGGCACCTCACTGGGGGGGAAGGAGCCCGAGCTCGTGGGGGAGGTTGAGAGACACCGACTAGAGATAGTCGGCCTCACCTCCACACACAGCCTGGGCTCTGAACCAAACTCCTGGAGAGGGGTTGTTTCTCGCGGGGAAAGGCAGCGAGCTGGGGGGGGGGTCATTCTCATTGCCCCCCATCTCAGCCGCCACGTGTTGGAGTTTTCCCCCGGTGAATGAGAGGGTCGCGTCCCTCTCATAACTGTTGTTACGGGCCTAACAACAGTGCAGAGTACTCGGCCTTCTTGGAGTCCTTGGGAGGTGTACTGGACGGTGCACCGCCCGGGGACTCCGTTATTCTCCTGGGGGACTTCAACGCCCATGTGGGGGACGCCAGTGACACTTGGAGAGGGGTGGTTGGGAAGAACGGCCCTGATCTGAACCCGAGCGGTGTTCAGTTGTTGGACTTCTGTGCTAGTCACAGTTTGTCCATCACCAACACCTTGTTCCAGCCCAAGGGTGTCCACCAGGGGGCGCCAGGACCTGAGGCCGGAGGTCAATGATCGACTTTGTTGTCGTATCATCTGACCTTCGGCCGCGTGTCTTGGACACTTGGGTGAAGAGAGGGGCGGAGCTGTCAACCAATCATCACCTGGTCGTGAGTTGGATCCGCTGGCAGGGGAAGAAGCCGGTCAGACCTGGCAGACCCAAGCGTGTAGTGAGGGTCTGCTGGGAACTTCCTTCAGAGGCAGAGGCTGAGGATGTTGGGGCGGATACTTCCATCTCCCTGGCTGAGGTCACCAAGGTGGTTAGCAGCCTCCATGGTGGCAAGGCGCCAGGAGTGGATGAGATCCATCCTGACTATCTAAAGTCTCTGGATGTTGTTGGACTGTCTTGGCTGACACGTCTCTGCAACATCGCGTGGCGATTGGGGGCGGTGCCAATGGAGTGGCAGACCGGGGTGGTGGTCCCTCTCTACAAGAAGGGGGACCGGAGGGTGTGCTCCAATCACACTCCTCAGCCTCCCCGGTAAGGTCTACTCCAAGGTACTGGAGAGGAGGCTACGGCTGATGGTTGAATCTCGGATTCAGGAGGAGCAGTGTGGTTTTTGTCCCGGTCGCGGAACACTGGACCAACTCTATACTCTCCATCGGATACTCGAGGGTTCATGGGAGTTCGCCCAACCTGTCCACATGTGCTTTCTGGATTTGGGAAGGACATTCGACAGTGTTCCCCGGGGTGTCCTTTGTGGGGCTCTCCGGGAGTACGGAGTCTGGGGTCCTCTGCTGAGGGCCATCCGGTCCCTGTATGACCGGAGCCAGAGCTGTGTTCGCATCAGCAGTAAGTCAGACCTGTTCCCGGTGCATGTTGGCTTCTGCCAAGGCTCCCATTGTCACCGGTTCTGTTCAGACTTTGTAGGCGCAGCCAGAGGCCTGGAGGGGGTCCGGTTCGGGGACCACAGGATTTCATCTCTGCTCTTTGCGGACGATGTTGTCCTGTTGACTCCAACGAACCAGGACCTGCAACATGCACTGGGACGGTTTGCAGCCGAGTGTGAAGCGGCTGGGATGAGAATCAGCACCTCCAAATCTGAGGCCATGGTGCTCGACCGGAAAAAGGTGCCTTGCCCTCTCCAGGTCCTGGTCCTCTCCAGGTCCTGGTCCCCTCCAGGTCCTGGTCCCCTCCAGGTCCTGATCCTCTCCAGGTGGAGCAGTACTTCCTCAAGTGAAGGAGTTCAAGTATCTCGGGGTCTTGTTCACGAGAGGGAAGGATGGAGCGTTAGATTGACAGGCGGATCGGTCCAGTATGTGCAGTGATGCGGTCGCTGTATCGGACCGTTGTGGTAAAGAGGGAGCAGCGTCTGCAGTCAGAGTTGTATCGGACCGTTGTGGTAAAGAGGGAGCTGAGCCGAAAGGGGCAAAGCTCTCGATTTACCGGTTAATCTTCGTTCCCTCCCTCACCTATGGTCATGAGCTTTGGGTAATGACCGAAAGAACGAGATCGCGGATACAAGCGGTCGAAATGAGCTTCCTCCGCAGAGTGGCTGCTCCCTTAGAGATAGGGTGAGGAGCTCAGTCACACGGGAAGAGCTCGGAGTAGAGCCGCTGCTCCTTCACGTCGAGAGGAACTAGTTGAGGTGGCGCGGACATCTGTTCCGGATGCCTCCTGGATGCCTCCCCGTGAAGGTGTCCCACGTAGTTGCAGTAGTTGCAGCAGTTACAGTAGTTGCAGTTGTTGCAGCAGTTACAATAGTTGCAGCAGTTGCAGTAGTTGCAGTAGTTGCAGCAGTTACAGTAGTTGCAGCAGTTACAGTAGTTGCAGTAGTCACAGTAGTCGCAGTAGTTGCAGCAGTTGTAGTAGTTACAGTAGTTGCAGCAGTAACAGTAGTTGCAGCAGTCGCAGTAGTCGCAGTAGTTGCAGCAGTTGTAGTAGTTACAGTAGTTGCAGCAGTAACAGTAGTTGCAGCAGTCGCAGTAGTCGCAGTAGTTGCAGCAGTTGTAGTAGTTACAGTAGTTGCAGCAGTAACAGTAGTTGCAGCAGTCGCAGTAGTCGCAGTAGTTGCAGCAGTTGTAGTAGTCGCAGTAGTTGCAGCAGTAACAGTAGTTGCAGCAGTCGCAGTAGTCGCAGTAGTTGCAGCAGTTGTAGTAGTCGCAGTAGTTGCAGCAGTCGCAGTCTGATTCATATGTGAAATAAAACACCCTAACCCTAACAGCTCACATCGCTCTACTGTTCACATAACACCTCAACCCACGTTAGGACCTCTGACCTCTGACCTTAACACGTGAGGACCTCTGACCTTAACACGTGAGGACCTCTGACCTTAACACGTGAGGACCTCTGACCTGTAGAGATGAGACATTCATGTTTTACGGTTTTGTCAGTTTTGGTTCAACTGCAGCTCTGAGTTAGCTCTAATCCTCTGCTGCAGCTCTGAGTTAGCTCTAATCCTCTGTTGCAGCTCTGAGTTAGCTCTAATCCTCTGTTGCAGCTCTGAGTTAGCTCTAATCTATAACGACCGCTCGGTTCAGGAGAGTCATCATCTCAGCGCCGCCTTCCGCCTCCTGCAGAACGACAAACTCAACATCTTCATCCACTTAACACGAGACGAATGGATGTAAGTCTTCTCCTGCTGAACCTCCCGCTGAACCTCCTGCTGAACCCCCTGCTGAACACACTCCTCCTGCTGTACGTCCTGCTACACACACCTCCTGCTGAACCCCCTGCTGAACACACTCCTCCTGCTGTACATCCTGCTACACACACCTCCTGCTGAACCCCCTGCTGAACACACTCCTCCTGCTGTACGTCCTGCTACACACACCTCCTGCTGAACCCCCTGCTGAACACACTCCTCCTGCTGTACGTCCTGCTACACACACCTCCTGCTGAACCCCCTGCTAATCACACACCTCCTGCTGAACCTCCTGCTGAACACACACCTCCTGCTGAACCTCCTGCTGAATACACACTTCCTACTGAACACACTCCTCCTGCTGAAAACACACCTCCTGCTGAACACACACCTCCTGCTGAACCTCCTGCTGAACACACACCTCCTGCTGAACTCACTCCTCCTGCTGAATACACACTTCCTGCTGAACACACTCCTCCTGCTGAAAACACACCTCCTGCTGAACTCACTCCTCCTGCTGAACTCACTCCTCCTGCTGAACTCACTCCTCCTGCTTAATACACACTTGCTGCTGAACACACTCCTCCTGCTGAACACACTCTGATGTAAACAGACCTGTGGGTCATACAGGATGTGACATCACAGCAGCATCATGTTGGATCAGGACCAGAACCATCTGACCATCTTGACCTCTGACTCTGACCTCTAACCCTTGACCCCTGACTCTGACCTCTGACCCCTGACCTTTGCCCTCTGACTCTGACCCCTGATTCTGACCTCTAACCCTTGACCTATGAACCCTGACTCTGACCCCAGAGACCATGTGACTCCTTCGTGATGAGAGGTTTGAACAGAGCCTTTGATCCTGAAGGTTGTTGAAACTGCAACAATTCTGTTCCTTTCTTTTTTTTTTACATTTGATGTTATCTGTGTTCCTCCTCCTCCTCTCCTCCTCCTCTCCTCTCCTCTCCTCCTGTCCTCCTCTCCTCCTCCTTTCCTCCTCCTCCTGTCCTTCTCCTCCTCTCCTCCTCTGCTCCTCCTCCTCTCCTCCTCCTCCTCAGGGAGCTGAGGTCTCTGGTGATAGAGATGGTTCTTGCCACAGACATGACGTCTCACCTGCTACAGGTCAAAGACATGAGGTCCTGTCTCCAACAACAGGAAAGGTCAGAGGTCACAGAGACAGAGACACATAGACAGACACAGAGACAGCGACACAGAGAGACACAGAGACACAGAGACAGAGACACAGAGACAGAGACACAGAGACCGAGACAGAGAGACAGAGACACATAGACAGACACAAAGAGACAAAGACACAGAGACCGAGACAGAGACACAGAGACACAGAGACACAGAGACAGAGACACAGAGACAGACACAGACAGAGACACAGTGTTGTGGATGATGCTGATGGTGTTTATTGTGCTGATGGTGTTGATGGTGTTGGTGGTGTTGATGGTGCTGATGGTGTTGATGGTGTTGGTGGTGTTGATGGTGCTGATGGTGCTGATGGTGCTGATGGTGTTGACAGTGTCGATAGTGGTGATGGTGATTATGATGTTGATTGTGATGATGGTGATGGTGTTTGTGTTGATGGTGATGGTGTTGATGGTGTTGATGGTGCTGATGGCGCTGATGGTTTTGATGGTGTTGATGGTGCTGATGGTGTTGAGGATATTGATGGTTCTGATGGTGCTGATGGTGTTGATAGTGTTGATGGTGAGGATGGTGTTGATGGTGCTGATGGTCTTGATGATATTGATGGTGCTGATGGTGTTGATGGTGCTGAAGGTGATGATGTTGATGGTGTTACTGGTGCTGAAGGTGATGATGTTGATGGTGATAGTGTTGATGGTGCTGATGCTGATGGTGCTGATGCTGATGGTGTTGATTATGTTGATGGTGCTGATGGTGATGGTGTTGATAGTGATGTTGATGATGGTGTTGATGGTGTTGATGATGGTGCTGATGGTGTTGATGGTATTGATGGTGATGATGTTGATGGTATTGATGGTGTTGATGGTGTTTATGGTGTTTATGGTGATGGTGTTGGTGGTGTTGATGGTATTTATGGTGTTGATGGTGATGGTGTTGGTGGTGTTGATGGTGTTGATGGTGGTGTTGCTGGTGATGGTGGTGTTCATGGTGACGGTGTTGGTGGTGTTTATGGTGATGGTATTGATGGTGTTGATGGTTATGGTGTTGATGTTGCTGATGTTGATGGTGTTGGTGTTATTGATGGTGATGGTGTTGGTGGTGTTGATGGTGGTGTTGCTGGTATTGATGGTGTTGATCGTGTTTCCGCTGATGGTGTTGGTGGTGTTGATGTTGTTGATGGTATTGATGGTATTGATGGTGCTGATCGTGTTGATGGTATTGATATTGCTGATAGTGTTGATGGTGCTGATTGTGCTGATAGTGCTGATGATAATGGTGTTGATGGTATTGATGGTGTTGTTGGTGAGGATGTTGATGGTGATGATGTTGGTGGTGTTGATGGTTTTGATGGTGATGATGTTGATGGTGTTGATGGTGATGATGTTGATGGTGTTGATGGTTGTGATGGTGTTGATGGTGTTGTTGGTGAGGATGTTGATGGTGATGATGTTGATGGTTTTGATGGTGTTGATGGTGTTGTTGGTGAGGATGTTGATGGTGATGATGTTGATGGTGTTGATGGTTGTGATGGTGTTGATGGTAATGATGTTGATGGTGATGATGGTGTTAATGGTGATGATGTTGGTGGTGTTGATGGTTTTGATGGTGTTGATGGTGTTGATGGTGATGATGTTGATGGTGATGATGTTGGTGGTGTTGATGGTTTTGATGGTGTTGATGGTGATGATGTTGATGGTGTTGATGGTGATGATGTTGATGGTGTTGATGGGGTTGATGGTTGTGATGGTGTTGATGGTGTTGTTGGTGAGGATGTTGATGGTGATGATGTTGATGGTTTTGATGGTGTTGTTGGTGAGGATGTTGATGGTGATGATGTTGATGGTTTTGATGGTGTTGATGGTGTTGTTGGTGAGGATGTTGATGTTGATGGTGTTGATGGGGTTGATGGTTGTGATGGTGTTGATGGTAATGATGTTGATGGTGATGATGGTGTTGATGGTGATGATGTTGATGGTGATGATGTTGATGGTGTTGATGGTGTTGATGGTGATGATGTTGATGGTGATGATGTTGGTGGTGTTGATGGTTTTGATTGTGTTGATGGTGTTGATGGTTGTGATGGTGTTGATGGTGTTGATGGTAATGATGTTGATGGTGATGATGATGTTGATGGTGATGATGTTGGTGGTGTTGATGGTGTTGATGGTGTTGTTGGTGAGGATGTTGGTGGTGTTGATGGGGTTGATGGTTGTGATGGTGTTGATGGTAATGATGTTGATGGTGATGATGTTGATGGTGATGATGTTGATGGTGATGATGGTAATGATGTTGATGGTGATGATGATGTTGATGGTGATGATGTTGATGGTGATGATGGTAATGATGTTGATGGTGATGATGATGTTGATGGTGATGATGTTGATGGTGATGATGGTAATGATGTTGATGGTGATGATGATGTTGATGGTGATGATGTTGGTGGTGTTGATGGTTTTGATGGTGTTGATGGTGTTATGGTCACTGTAGCTTCTTCTCTCTCAGAGTGGATAAGTCCAAGGCTCTGTCTCTGCTGCTGCACACTGCAGACATCAGTCATCCTTCTAAACCCTGGACTCTGCACTCACGCTGGACCCAGGCCCTGATGGAGGAGTTCTTTAGACAGGTGAGGACCAGGTGAGGAACTGGTGAGGACCAGGTGAGGACCAGGTGAGGACCAGGAGAGGACTAGGAGAGGACCAGGTGAGGACTAGGAGAGGACCAGGTAAGGACCAGGAGAGGACCAGGTGAGGACTAGGAAAGGACCAGGTGAGGACAAGGTCAGGCTAGGAGAGGATCAGGAGAGGACCAGGTGAGGACAAGGTGAGGACCAGGGGAGGATCAGGAGAGGACCAGGAGAGGACTAGGAGAGGACCAGGAGAGGACCTGGTGGGACCAGGTGAGGACCAGGTGAGGACTAGGAGAGGACCAGGTGAGGACATGTGTTGTTCTGGTCTGACCCATGTTGTTCTGGTCTGACAAGTGTTGTTCTGGTCTGACACGTGTTGTTCTGGTCTGACATGTGTTGTTCTGGTCCTTGAGGGTGACCGAGAGGCGGCGCAGGGACTTCCCTTCTCTCCGCTGTGTGACCGTAAATCCACCCTCGTGGCCGAGTCTCAGATCGGTGAGTTTCTGTTTTATTCTTTTGGACAGTCGTGTTTCAGTGAACGCCGTTAAAAAGCAGGAAGTAGACTCTCCCTCGCTCTTTAGGGGCTGTTGTGGTCCGAGTGCAGTCAGACTCTCCCTCGCTCTTTAGGGGCTGTTGTGGTCCCAGTGCAGTCAGACTCTCCCTCGCTCTTTAAGGGCTGTTGTGGTCCCAGTGCAGTCAGACACTCCTGGTCTCTGAGGGGCTGTTGTGGTCCCAGTGCAGTCAGACACTCCTGGTCTCTGAGGGGCTGTTGTGGTCCCAGTGCAATCAGACTCTTCTGGTCTCTGAGGGGCTGTTGTGGTCCCAGTGCAGTCAGACTCTCCTGGTCTCTGAGGGGCTGTTGTGGTCCCAGTGCAGTCAGACTCTCCTGGTCTCTGAGGGGTCTGTTGTGGTCCGAGTGCAGTCAGACACTCCTGGTCTCTGAGGGGCTGTTGTGGTCCCAGTGCATTCAGACTCTCCTGGTCTCTGAGGGGCTGTTGTGGTCTCAGTGCAGTCAGACTCTCCTGGTCTCTGAGGGTCTGTTGTGGTCCCAGTGCAGTCAGACTCTCCTGGGCTCTGAGGGGCTGTTGTGGTCGCAGTGCAGTCAGACTCTCCTGGTCTCTGAGGGGTTGTTCTGGTCGCAGTGCAGTCAGACTCTGCTGGTCTCTGAGGGGTTGTTGTGGTCCCAGTGTGTTGTGAACCAAAGATGTTTTTGTATATTGTTATTTATTACTTTGATTTGATTCTGATTGAACTTTTTGGATTAAATGGATTAAAGGGTAGAAAATGGATGGATGGATGGATGAACTTTTTTGCACCGAGAGCCAAAGACATTTCCGAGTTTGTGACTTCCTGTTTCTCACCTGGAAATAAAGGATTCTGATTCTGAGTTATTTCTAAAATGTCTGACACTGGATTATAAAAGGTTCCAGTTGGATTTCATTAAAGGTGATGTGTGTAACTTCATACAACCATAAACACAATAATCTCTACAGTCCATAACCAGCAAGACCAATGGCAGGTCCATTGGTCCAGTTAGTGGACCACTTCCAAATATAGATGGAAAAATGGAGAAGTTTAGCCGTCTGTATCAGCTAAATACATTCCTACTCAATGAGTGTTCACGCAGAGGACTTGGCTTCATTGAAAACTTTAATCTGTTCTGGAATAGGCACGAGCTTTTTGAAGAAAAAGGTCCACATCTGAACAACTACGGAGTAAAAGTGTTGATGGATAACTTTGCATCTGCCCTAAGACCTCAGCCTGCGCAGCGCGTGCAGCCGTCGAAAGGGAGAAAGAAGAAGCAAAGGGCACAGACATCACGACCATCTCCACCGACTCCCGAGGTCTCTGCATCCCCACCGCCTCAAAAGAACTCAACACCTCCACGGCTTCGAAAGAGCTCAACTCCTCCACCACCAGCATCATCAGCAGCTGCCACATCTTCATCAGCGCCATCAGCATATACAGCACCACCAGCAGCAGTGGATACAGCCGCAGCAGTGGCTGCTCCATCATCTTCAGCAGCAGCAGTGGCTGCTCCATCATCTTCAGCAGCAGCAGTGGCTGCTCCATCATCTTCAGCAGCACCTTCCCCACCTACAGCTCCCGTGAAGCTTCCCCCATTGCTCCAGGCTACAGTCAGGCCTGTACTGGGGGTTCCTCAACTACCTCTGTCTCCACCAAAGACTCCCTCATCACCTTCCATGGACCCGGCTTGGGTCCCCCCCGCTACATCCACTCCATCTAGGGAAAATGAGGACGACCTTTCCCTTTGTTTTCTATCCCCGCCTTCACTACTGGAATTACCGGAACACTCTGCAGGCATGATAAGATCTGCGATGAAGACTGTTCCTCTCACCCCCCCCCGTCCCCCCCCCCCGTTCAACACCCAAAAGCCACCCGCCTCTCCATCCTCCTCCCCCGCCTTCCCCTTCCCCTCTTTTCTCTAAACACTAGGATGCACAGGGTCTCTGCTTCGCAGCCACTGGCAGTCTAGTTAGAGGAGAGACCCGGCTGGGGCCCTGTCATGAAGCCACCTGTGCCATTCCCTTAGTGATAACACAAAGAATACATTACAGAAAAACATCTGGAGTTAATCAGTCTAATCAGGAAAATCTAATTCTTGTTCCGTGTAAGAATCAGCCGACCACAACCGCTGATACTGAAACTTTGAAACTTGCTACGCTTAATGTCAGATCTCTTTGTAACAAGTCTTTTTTAATCAATAATTTTATTTGTTCTCATAATCTTGATCTTATGTTCATGGCTGAAACTTGGCTTGACCAAAATACAGAAAATGCAGTTTTAATAGAATCATCACCACCAAATTTCAAATTTGAATCTGAAATACGGGAAAACAAAAAAGGAGGAGGCTTAGCTGCCATTTTCAGAGACCACTTTGTCTCCCATATGTCACCTGAGGTACCTTTTTAAAAGTTCACAGTACATAAACCAGGAACTAAAACCAAGGACACAGGTAAGTATGTAAAAACAAACGACAGAGACAAGACTTAAAATGTGCGATTAGAATTTTATTAAAAAGCTGGAGCAATTAAGAGTTTTTAAAAAAGATTTTAATTCATTGCAATGTAATTATTAAAAAGTCCAGAAGTCAAAATATAAAAGCCCACCAAAAAGGTTTAAAAGCTGCAGCCCCTGGGCATCATAAAAATTCAATATACTAAAATAAACTAATAACTAAATGAATCCAACGAGGGCGACCTGCGCGGGGAGTAGCCCCACCCGTAACAAAACAGAAAGTGCTACCCTCACTCACAACAAAACAACTGAAGACCCAATAGTGCAAATAACTGAAAGAAACTGGGCTAGGTCCCCCTCAGGCGCGCCCCGGGAGAACTAAATATAACTAAACTATACACCTAAGCTCAAGAGTCTACAGCATTAAAACCTAAAAACCTTTATTTAAAAGTGCAGTGCTGGATAAAAAAAAAACACAAAACAGTAAACTAAAGGCAAAACCAAAACCCTACAAAAAACAGTAGCAGGCTACTCCTCAATGCTGTTTACACCAGGGGAAATCTGCCACCAGGTAATCCAGCCCTGACAAATGATTAAATTGCATTAGAAACCAGACGTTAAAATAAGGGTGGGGGAGAGTTAAGCCCTTACCTGACACCGGCGAGCAGGGAGCCGAGACTGAGCATAACGTGGTCGCCATTTTTATGCTCAGCTCTCCGCCCGGATGCCAGGCAAGTACCAGTGGCGGTGGCGACCCCTAGTGTCCGCCACACATAGAATGTCTCTTGAGAAGTTTCCGTCATTTGAATATGTGTCTTTTAAAATACAACAAAAACCATCTGCTCCAATACTTTTTGTTGTCCTATACAAGCCACCGCAGTCATGTCACAGTTTTATCGATAATTTTACCGAGTTGCTTTCAGTTGTATGCACAGATTTTGATAGTTTGGTTATTACAGGTGATTTTAATATTCATGTGGATAATGTTGATGACAGAAATGCAAAAGAGCTGAGTTCTTTACTTGAATCTTTTGGTCTCACTCAGCACGTAAGTGGCCCCACCCACAGCAGAGGGCACACTCTAGATCTGTTAGTTACTAAGGGGGTGAACATTTCTAATGTAAACGTGGTCGATGTTGCTCTTTTGGATCATTTCTGTGGTTTTTTTGACATGTGTTTCACTAACAAACCACCAGTGGACTCTGCAACTGTTCGAAGAAGGCGCATAAATGAAAATACGAGTGATCTATTTATGGGAATGATAAACTTTGAGAATGCATCGTATTCTACTGTAGATGAACTGTTTAACTCTGTCACCTCTAGTGTTTTGAATGTTCTGGATACCGTTGCCCCTGTGAAGGTTAAAATAGTGAAAAATAAGCAGAAGGCGCCGTGGGCTAAAGCAGACTCGGTCAGGGCAGTCTGGACGCTACGGTACTTAACAACTATCGCCCCATCTCAAATCTGCCATTTATGGGGAAAGTCCTTGAAAAAGTTGTCTACCTACAGCTTACTAGATTTCTTATAATCAACAACTCATTTGATATGTTTCAGTCCGGCTTTAGACCCCACCACAGCACTGAGACTGCTCTCGTTAAGGTTACAAACGATATCCGGCTGAACACTGACGCAGGCAAAGTCTCAATCTTAATCTTGTTAGATCTGAGTGCTGACTTTGATACCGTCGACCATGAGATCCTCTTACAGAGACTAGAGGACTGGGTTGGAGTCGCTGGCACCGCCCTAAGTTGGTTTAGGTCTTACCTTGAAGACAGGAAGTACTTTGTGGAGATTGGAAACTGTGTCTCAGATCATATGGCCCTAGCCTGTGGAGTACCACAGGGGTCGATCCTGGGACCTCTTCTGTTCAATCTCTACATGCTGCCGTTAGGTCAGTTAATACGCAGAAACAAAGTTTCCTATCACAACTATGCAGACGACACTCAGATCTATGTCTCACTGACTGCAGGAGAACATGGACCAGTGGACTCACTCCTTCACTGTATCCAACAGATCAGTGAGTGGATGCAAAACAACTTCCTTCAGCTAAACGCAGACAAAACTGAAATTATTGTCTTTGGTCCAGAAACAAAGAGAGAGCGTCATCTGTCACCTACAGTCTCTCTCCCTAAAACCTTCAAACAAGGTCAGAAATCTAGGGGTAATACTGGACTCAGACTTAAATTTTAATAGCCACATCAAATCAGTAACATCAGCAGCTTTTTACCATCTAAAAAACATTGCCAGGATCAAAAACATAGTGTCTAAAGCAGACTTGGAGATTCTTATCCATGCATTTGTCTCCAGTAGGTTAGACTACTGCAATGGCCTGCTCACAGGTCTGTCCAAACAGGCTGTAAAACAGCTGCAGTACATTCAAAATGCAGCAGCTCCAGTCCTGACTAGAACCAGGAAGTACGACCATATTAGTCCTGACTAGAACCAGGAAGTACGACCACATTAGTCCTGACTAGAACCAGGAAGTACGACCACATTAGTCCTGACTAGAACCAGGAAGTACGACCACATTAGTCCTGACTAGAACCAGGAAGTACGACCACATTAGTCCTGACTAGAACCAGGAAGTACGACCACATTAGTCCTGACTAGAACCAGGAAGTACGACCACATTAGTCCTGACTAGAACCAGGAAGTACGACCACATTAGTCCTGACTAGAACCAGGAAGTACGACCACATTAGTCCTGACTAGAACCAGGAAGTACGACCACATTAGTCCTGACTAGAACCAGGAAGTACGACCACATTAGTCCTGACTAGAACCAGGAAGTACGACCACATTAGTCCTGACTAGAACCAGGAAGTACGACCACATTAGTCCTGACTAGAACCAGGAAGTACGACCACATTAGTCCAGTCCTCAGGTCTCTGCACTGGCTTCCTGTGGCTCAGAGAATAGACTTTAAAACAGCTCTGCTTGTTACAAGTCTCTCCATGGCCTCGCACCAAAATATATTAGTGACATGTTAGTCCCATATGAACCAGCCCGGACTCTGAGGAGCACAGGGACTGGACTCCTGCTGGGACTCTGAGGAGCACAGGGACTGGACTCCTGCTGGGACTCTGAGGAGCACAGGGACTGGACTCCTGCTGGGACTCTGAGGAGCACAGGGACTGGACTCCTGCTGGGACTCTGAGGAGCACAGGGACTGGTCTCCTGCTGGGACTCTGAGGAGCACAGGGACTGGACTCCTGCTGGGACTCTGAGGAGCACAGGGACTGGCCTCCTGCTGGGACTCTGAGGAGCACAGGGACTGGACTCCTGTTAGTGCCCAGAGTCAGGACTAAATATGGGGAGGCTGCTTTTCAGATTCATACTGCTAAAAGCTGGAACAGTCTTCCTAACAATGTTTAAAACCAGGTTAAAGACAGTTCTGTTTAGTTGTGCTACAACTGAGGGATTTTATGTTTTTATCTTTCTTTTTAATGTTCTGTGATTATTTATGATTTTAATGCTTTCTTGTTCAGCAATTTGAGTTGCCTTGTGTATGAATTGTGCTATACAAATAAACTTGCCTTGCCTTGCCTTGCCAGCGCCTCGCGTCTCTTTATCATGAATTTAAAAGTATTAAATGTCCAATGAGAATCTGGACTCAAACTGGTCTCAGATCAAACTGGTCTCAAACTGGTCTCTGATCAAACTGGTCTCAGATCAAACTGGTCTCAGATCAAACTGGTCTCAAACTGGTCTCAGATCAAACTGGTCTCAGATCAAACTGGTCTCAGATGAAACTGGTCTCAGATCAAACTGGTCTCAAACTGGTCTCAGATCAAACTGGTCTCAAATCAAACTGGTCTCGGATCAAACTCTAAAGTCCAGTTTCCGTGTTCTGTAGGGTTCATAGATTTCATCGTGTTTCCGTCGTTCTCGCTCCTCACGGACCTCGCAGAAAAAATTGTGATCCCTTTAGTGGAAGAAAACCCCGGGCCCCCGGACCCCTGCAACAGACACAGGTGAGGCCCCCGGACCCCTGCAACAGACACAGGTGAGGCCCCCGGACCCCTGCAACAGACACAGGTGAGGCCCCCGGACCCCTGCAACAGACACAGGTGAGGCCCCCGGACCCCTGCAACAGACACAGGTGAGGCCCCCGGACCCCTGCAACAGACACAGGTGAGGCCACCGGACCCCTGCAACAGACACAGGTGAGGCCCCCAGGTGAGGACCCCTGCACCCTGTGCTGTGTGTTAAGTACTGTGTTGTGTGTAAAGTGCTATGTTGTATGTAAAGTGCTGTGTGTTAAGTGTTGTATGTAAAGTGCTGTGTGTTAAGTGTTGTGTGTAAAGTGCTGTGCTGTGTGTAAAGTGCTGTGTGTTAAGTGCTGTGTTGTGTGTAAAGTGCTATGTTGTGTGTAAAGTGCTGTGTGTTAAGTGTTGTGTGTAAAGTGCTATGTTGTGTGTAAAGGGCTGTCTTGTGTGTAAAGTGCTATGTTGTGTGTAAAGTGCTATGTTGTGTGTAAAGTACTGTGTTGTGTATAAAGTGCTATGTTGTGTGTAAAGTGCTTTGTGTTAAATGTTGTGTGT